ATGATCTGGCCGTTGTAGTGGCCTCAAACAGCAGAGCCAGGTTAAAAGAAGAAGCTGAACGATGTGCCAACCTCGTAGGAGGATGGTGCGAGAGAAAAAAGATGAAGATGGCGGCTGCTAAGACCCAGTCCATTCTTTTAAGAGGTAAGACTGACAGGGCCCACCCTATTACTCTCAGAATAGAAGGAGAAAGGATACGTCCAAGTGAGGCTGTTACTTACCTTGGCATAAGAATTGGGAGAAATTTCAACTTTACGCCTCACTTGGACTACATGAAAGGTAGGGTAGCTCTGGCTCTCAATGGACTTACTCGCATCGGGGGCGCCTTTTGGGGTCTCAGGTACCCAGCCACGTTAACTATTTATAAAGGAGTTATTCTGGGCATCCTGAGATATGCGTCCCCTGCGTGGAGTCATCATCTCTCGCACCAACAAAAGAAAAGGTTGGCAACAATCCAGCGGATGGCTCTGCTGCGGGTCACTAGAGCGTACCGTTCAGTGTCTCATGAGGCGGTACAAGTCTTAGCCGGAACTACTCCTATTGATCTTTTCCTACGAGAAGGATACTTTCGGCATAAGATGAAGAGTTAAGGCCTGGTGGATCTACCGGCGAATCTTCGTGTGAGGATCAGTGAAGACCCTAATAGATGGAAGAGCATTCTTCGGGAGAACACATTAAAGGAATGGAACCAGCGGTGGATGACGACGCCAAAAGGGGCTACGCTAAGAAAATACTTCCCCACCGTTGGTTCAAGAATGGAACAGACATGGGTTCTCCCGGACTACTGGGTCTCACAGTTCCTCACAGAGCATGGGGGTTTCCGAGCAAAGCTCGCTGAATATGGCAAGAACATTGATCCCCTATGCCCAAGTTGCAGAGTGCCGGAGACCGCCGAGCATATCATCCTTGTCTGTACCGCCTTTGAGGCACTGAGGGCTAAGTTGTTGAGGGAGACGGGGCTCTACGCTCTGATGGAGAGCGATCTCCCTCAACTTATGACAAAGGAAAAATATCCGTATTACAAGGCATTCGTATACGGGTGGAAGGAACATGTTGGGTCAACCCACTTTTCATTGGGAAGAAGAAATGAACTAGCATCCGGAAGACCGCCAGAGAGGGTGGAAGAAGATGCTGGCTAAAAAGAGAAACGAAGAGAAGAAAAAAAAAAAAAAGAGCAGGCTGTGTGCACAGCTGTAAAATAAATGTAATTGGTCTGAATGCAGTAGTGAATTGTAACGCATGCGTTGCTACTCACTACTGCATAACACCCGTATTGCCTTATTGGCAGGGTAGGGTGTAAATAAAAATTAAATTAAAATTAAATGGTTCAATATATCTATTATAATTTAAAATGTTTCTAATTTAATTAGAAATATTATTTACACAAATACAGCCTATAGCAATTTGTACACCTATTGGTTTATTTTTTAGAATAAACCGTTGTATCGAAGAATATAAATATAATTCCTTCATGTCACTATACATTGCAGTTAATTATTTCCATTTTTTCACCTACGTTTGTACTTTTTTTTACCTCTCCTTCCTTGCCTTTTAGGCTACTCGAGGTTTTTCCCTGGCCGGGGAAGAGAGCAGGGGAATCATACAGAGTTTAAAAAGTCCCTCCGGTCACCGGTATTTTAACTCATTGTAACTGTAATTATTTCATAGCTAAATTCGGTTATCAGGGTGCCGGGCAACGCGTTTTGCTGCACACATGCGATAACCAGCTCGGCCATTCCACTCTAAAAAAAAAAAAAAAAGCATCCAAGCGTTGTACTAAGCAAACGAATATACACGGGTGGACTGGTCATTTGAGAAATCAGTCTTTTAAATATCCAGTTTCAAATTTGATGGATTATTCCCTTTTATTTATATATGGTACTGAATAATTTGACCATTTATCTGTATATTTATAAAATATTCCAAGTTTAGTATGTTTTGTTGAAGTTGAATAGAATTTAAATAAGTAAATGAAAAAGCGGCATACAATTTTTTTTAATACTTTCTTCGTGCGAAAAGCGCTAGAAACCTTATCCAGTTGATCACCATTTGAGAGGAATTGAAGTAGGGTCTCCACAACTTTATCGATAACGCAAGTCCAGTTCAATCCGCAACTGGAGCACAGATAATTTATTTTTTGTTTTCCCTTCAACATCTTTTTGGCTGTACAGATTTTTCCTGGGCCTAGGGAGAGGGTGTGGAAATAATGCGGTTGGTTCGAATCCTCGGTTTATCGATCAGGTTACAAAACAACGAATATTTTACACGTGCATTAGCCTATCTGAACCCCCCATCTAAACACAGAGAATCTATACTAACTTTCGAGAGTAAGCAAAATCTTTGTAGTACAGGAGGTTTCCTTCAGTCACGAGGTGAGGGAACTCGTGCCCGGTTTTCCCAGCAGTTCATCGTCTTTGAAGGTTATGTAGTTCAAAATGATGAGCTGTACATCTGGAGGACAGGGAATATACGAAATCTATAATCTCTATTTATTGTCAGTTAAAACATAAAGTGACATTTTCTGTCTTAATATGGTGTTAACATGATTCTCATTCATGATAATGCCTGAATTCACAAAACATAGCCTAGTAAGCCATTAATTGCTGTTTGAGAACTTCAAGGTTTTGTTCTGTGATCTGCTAATGACTTTTCTTGTTTTCTTTTTTTTTTTTTTTTTTTTTGTAACGCTCATTAATTATTCCACAGATCGTTTGGTTGGAAATACTTTCCGATGCCTCAAGAGATTATCTGCAGTAGCTGGCAATGAGATGTAATGAACATTAAATAATTAAAAAGGTTTCCAATTTCCCTAAAAAATAAAATTTTAAAAAAATATCATAATCAGACCATTTTTAGTAAAGATACAGCCAACTGATATTTATATACATATTTTGGTCTTTTGTTTTGAATGAAAATTGATTCCTCCCTCTCATATTACATTTCCATATAACATAGTCATTTGTTCACTGCACAAAATAATACGCTACTTCTTACTATTAAGTTAATTTGATCATATTTACCATCCGGCTTTTCCTCTCGAGAGACGCCCGAAAAACTTGAGTTGCAAATATCTGTACGCCTACAGGATGTCCTGATATCAATGAAACCTTGTTGAGGTCTTCTCCTCGAAGCCCTTATTTTCAGTAATCAACCCTTATAATTTATCAAGAAAAAAATTTAATCCTCCCCCTCAAAACTTGAGATTTTACGTTTCTAGTTTCGTAGAATCCAAAAATCAAATAATAAAAAAAGATCAGTCCGATCACTGTCTGCGGCTTTTCTCTTAGACTACTAAAAGGATTGTTTTGAAATTTGATATCAATGTCGAAGTGCACCTTAGGATGTTCCTCAAAGCTCAGCATTACCATCCGCCCTTTTCTTCCAAGATGACGGCCAAAATACCTGATGCGCCGGATTTACTGTTTTTTTTTTAATGAAACTTGGCCAAACCCTCTTTCCTGAAGCCCTTTGACTTACGTACATAACCGAAAACTATTTTGCTTTCATAATGGCGTTCATTAAAACCTGTTTGTTTGTGGACGTTCTTTAAAAATTTTACGAATTTTCTTAAAAAAACAAAAAAAGAAATCGTTGAGAACGGACGATTTGTTGTTCTAAATATTTCCCAAACGTTCTGCTCCAAAGCTGATATCCTTCTTTTTATTATTATTTTTTTTAATGTCTCACATCAACTGAAGCAATTGGGATTGTTGTCTTTATTTCTTAGAAAATTACTAATGATAAAAGAAAAAATATTTCGGCCAATATTAAGAATCACATTTAATTTTTTTTTGTCAAAATATATTTTTTCTTGGAGACGTTTCATACATAGAAAATCTTAAAGGGCTTACAAGATTCATCCAAATCGCACATCCGTTTATATAACAATACTGTTTATATGAATACTCGTTATTTGCACTTTCATGCAAACGGAACTGTATTTGGTGCACAGTAACCTGAAGCCAAAATCTACGAAAAAAATAAAACACTGAAATCGTTCAAGAGATGACACAGATACATATATGTTTTAAAACTTAATAATCTTTTTAAAACTGCACATCGAAATTTTGTCTCAATTACACAAATTATTTTACCTATTAGCGAGTATGAAAGTAGAAATGTATGATACTTAAATATTATAATAATAGTGTGTAAATTAGTGTTGCCCAAATGCGAGACGAAGACGATTCTTGGTCTTGTGCTCACAGTTTTGGTCTTCCGCAAGAGTCTAGCAGTTACCTATTAGCTTGTTACTATAGAGATGTTACTGTTTTTTTTTTTTTTAGATAGGAGGACCCTAACTAATCCCGAACGAAAAATTAGATGAGTTAAATGCAAAAGTATATTGGTTATACCAATTATTTACACATAGGAACTAAAATTGTCAAGCATTAGTAACTATTTTGTCTTATTTTTTTTTTAAATAATCGATATATTTCTTACAAAGTGCATTTTTATGTGCAAAGTGATTTTGGACAACAGTTGTGTAAATGAAATAGAAATTATTAATTAATTATAAAAATTATTTAAGTTGTTTACCAGAAATGATAATAATTGAAAAAGGAAAAAGTATTAATAATATGTATGAAATATCATATTTCTAAGAAATTTTAAGAAAATAAAAATGGGATAAAAAAAAATCTAACGAAGGACCAAACTTTTAAAACCAACATACAGATGAATAAATAGCTTGTATCAAAATATATCAGAATAGAAAACCTTTGGCTATTAAGGACCTTCTTACTGTTTTAGTAATTGATCCAAAATTTATAAGATAACACAAGAGACTCTGGGAGGTTAATGATTTAATGCGTGGCCAGATTTGCTGTAATATGAAAAACACAAGTGCGTATCAGAATAAAATACAATTTTCCAGATCTCCGTATAAAAGAAACTATGTAATCATCGTTGGGATATTCATTTAATATCAGCATGAAAAAGACAATAAAAAAAAAGAGGAATATTTAAAAAAGATGAGATGGAGAATCAGCCCCCATTGTGCAAATTACAGGCCACGGAGTGGTGGGGAGAGGGTTGGGGACTATATATCCACCGCCGGGTCTAGCCAGGCATTAAAGTCTCCCAAGATGCGTGTTATCTTCGCTTGTCTCCTCTTCGTCGGCTTGGCTCTTGCCATGCCAGACACCTCCAAGACCGATACCAAGAAAGACGGGTACACGACCAAGTACGACAATATCGACTTGGATGAGATCCTCAACAACACCAGGCTCTTGGACAAGTATTTCAACTGCCTCGTTGAGAAGGACAAGTGTACCACTGATGGAAAAGAGCTCAAAGGTAAACTATATTTTGTATTTATGAATTATACCATAATTGATAATTTTTCAAAATGTATTTACTCATTTGAAAAAAAATTACTGCATCTAAATCATTTTTCCGATGATATTTACAATATTTTCGTACAATTGAATACAACATTCTATTTTGAATTGTATCTTAGAAGTATCTTTTAATTTTTCACTAATTTTATATGGCTCCGGAGTAGTATGCAGTAGACAACTTTTGAAATTTTGCAATTAAAGATTAACAATTAATATTTCCGAATATTTTTTTTAATATTTGGTTCAAATTAAAAGTTTATAACATGGATGAATGTCCCCCAACTTTATGAAAATTGCAAAAATCCCCTTTTATACGAAGTCACTTATTTGCACTTTTCCAGATTAAAGTGTAGCCCAAATGCGCGTCCAGTCTGTGTTGGTCTTGGTCTGGCGGAAGAGTCATGCAACGGTCTTGCAGTTACCTATTACCATTTTGCTATAGAGATATTACTGTAATTTTTTTGATAAGAGAAACCTAAATAAGCCCGAATGAAAAATTAGAAGAGTTAAATGCAAAAGTATATGTTTATACCAATTCTTTATATGTAGTAACTAAAATGGTCAAATATTATTAACTTTGCCTTCATTATTATTCTAAAAATCGTTGCAAAGTAAAAGACTAAGACCGATTTTGGGCAACACTACCAGATATCAAGAAATCTGAGATATATTCTCTTATAATTTCTTTTTTAGCATTTCATGCAGCTTTGAAAGTTGTCAAATTTTAGATTGAAGTCTATTTTCTTAAATAATTTTAGTGAAAAGCCAGGACTTGATTTGTTTTTATCTGATATCCCAACTATATAAAAACTTTTTATACCTATCTAATCTAACAAGGATCCCATTGACTGTAAATTGATTTTATACAAATATTATTTAAGTCCTTCTCTAAATGCCGTCAAAACATATAACTAGCATATCATACCTTAAATTATCATCTCTCCTACATCTTACTCGATGATAGAGAAATATATTCGCAATCAATGTTTTTTTGTATTTATTCTTGAGCTCGTTTACCATTAGAAGCTGTATGTCAAAGAGTCAAAAACTTCTCAATGTATTTCCTCATTATCATTAACGTTCTGCTGCTTATTTTTATTCTGAATCCTGAGTTTATATCAATGACTCCATCGAAAGATTAAAATTAGTATTTTCTTCATCTTACTCTTCAAATAAGTCATGAAATATAAAAAAATGTGTACTTTGAAATAAATGAAAATATTTTAGTAAAAAAATGTTCCAATTTCCAATAAACTTTGTTAAACTAATTATATTTAATTAATTACTAAGAAAGAGTAAGAGAGTAGTGAAAAGTGACGCTTCTTAATTTCCTCAAAAGAAATTTTTAAAAAATAAGACTTTTTAAATGTTTCACAAGGACTTTTAAATTTTGCAAAGCAGCATCCTGGAATAATAGCTGAACAAAGCAAGACCATAAAAAAATCATACCATCTTCCAATCGACGTTTTGGTCAGCTCAGGTTAAAACAGTTTCACTAAACGCATGGTTTCAGCATTAAAAAACGTACACAACATTTAAACTTATTAAAGTACCAAATTATTCCATTCTCTAAAAAAATAATCTATTTTATATTAATTCTAATGAATTTTTATCTGTTTTCATCAAACCTATAATTATTACAACTTCATTCTTATAGTTTCTTAGGTATACAAATGTATTTATTTTTAATATCAATATATCCCAATTTTCTTTTTTACATATATTCATAATTATTAAACAGCAAATAGAAAATTTTCTAATTATTATAATAATAATCAAATAAGTGAATAATAATAAAAAAACTAGTTTATCAATTAGAATTAACTAGCTAAGCATAATGGTTTTATATACATATGATAGACACAATTAGAAACAAACAAACCAATATAAAATTTAATTACAAGAAATGTTGGTTGAGAGTCACAGTCATAAGAAGTACACAAAAATAAAGTAATTAATAAAATTAATTAAAAACAAAAATAAATTTGTGTACTTCTAATGACTGCGAACCGCAACTAACTTCTATAGGAATCTACAGTCAACAATATCTCTACCACAGTAAAATTGAATTTGTAAATTTATTTAAGTTTACCTTTCTTGTTTCAGATATCGTACCCGACGCACTGAAAACTGGCTGCTCCAAATGTAATGAAAAACAAAAAGGAGGAGTTGAAAAGGTACTCAGGTTCCTCATCGAAAAGAAGAGGGATTACTACGATGAATTGTCCAAGAAGTACGACCCGGAGGGCATCTACCTGAAGAAATACGAAGCCGAGGCTCAGAAACGTGGAATCAAAATTTAAAGGACAACACGACCAACGGAATCATTAAAAAATAACTTAAATATGTAATTTAAAAAATAAAACGTCTCAATATTTATCTGGTCTTTATCCAAATTTAAAACCTATCATATCCACTATCAACTACAAGAATAATCATTTGGGTGAGTTCTTAGAAACTATTTATATTAACAATTTAATTGTTTGTTTTTTTATTTATCTGGAAGAAAATGAATAGACCAATGGCATCTACTGAAGAAGTACGAAGCCGAGGCTCAGATACGTGTTATCAAAATTTAAAGAACTCACGACCAACGGAATCATTAAAGAATAACTAAAATATGTAATTTTAAAATTAAAAGTTCTTAATATTTATATAGTCTTTATTAAACTTTAAAACCTATCATTTCCACTATCAACTGCAAGAATTTGGATTAATTGTTAGTAACAATTAATGCTAAAAATTTAATTTATTTTTATTTATAGTTGTATGTCTATTTTACTAGAAGAAAATTAATAATCTAATGGATGTTACTGGACTCTCAGTCTAGAGTCCAGATTCGAATCAACCTACGGAAGATGACTATTTATTATGGTAATAGTCTGAAGTGGAGAGACCAGACGTATAGATTTTTTGGTCATTTTTTTTTAACAGCTTTTCAGTACATTGCATTGAGATACAAAATATTTTCAATAAGCGAATATTTTCTGAGCCTTTACCTAGCCTATTATAGAAAGATGAAAACAACAAATTTCAATACAAACTCACCTTAAAAACTATGAAAAACGATGAAACATAATTTTTAAAAAATCAAATCAAGATCTAGTTTCTTGAATTTTACTGTCGTTCCAGCATAAACTACCAATCTATCAATTCGTCTACTTCATATCGAGTAGTCGAAAGGCCTGATGCATAGATTTTGGGAGAAACATTTTTTTAAATTGGGTGGCTTTTCAATTCTTTGGATTATGATAAAAATATTTCCAATATGAAAATATTTTATATCATTTTTTGAGCTTTTTCCTATTTCGTTATGGACAGATAAAAACAATACATTTAAATAAAAACAGTGAAAAATAAGGAAACATAATTTTCAACCATTTATATCTAAGCTTGGCTCCAAAGTCGGACTTTGTAAATTTTACTGCCGTTCAGATATAACTATTAAATTGTCAACTCGTCTACTCCATGTGACTATCGCAAAATAATAAAATTATTGCACCTCCAAACGCACCATTCCTCTGATATCAACTCCAGAGAGTTAAAATGAGTGGAATTAACATATCAGATTATCCACCAACGAGTATATTGCACAGGCGTTAATCCACTCGGGCACCCCGTCCTGAACAGAGAGAATCTTTAGGAATTTATCTTTCCAGAGTGTACACAATCTTAACCAAACAGAAGTGGTTTCCTTCAAGCACGAGGTCAGGGAACTCATGCTCCATTGGGCGGTTTTTCCCGTGGAGTCCGGTTTTTCCCTGCACTTCAAGGGCCCTGAAGGTTATGCAATTCAAAATGATGTGCTGTGTATCTGGAGGACCAGGAATATATTCACGACATCTCTAATCTGCATTTGTAGTCAATTAAGGCTTGAAGTAACATTTTCTGTCTCAAGATAATGCTAAAATGATTTTGAGATTTTTATTCATGATAATGCCTAAATTGGCATAACATATGCTAGTTAGCCACTAATTGAGAACTTCAAGGTTTTGTTCTGGGATTTGCTAATGACTTTTTCTTGTTTTTTTTTTTTTGTATTTTGAACATTCATTAATTATTCCACAGATGCTTTTGCTAGGAATATTATCTGAAGCCTCGATGGATTATTTACAGTAGCTAGCAATGAGAGGTTATGAACATTTTCAACAAGAAACTGTTTTTCTTTAGTATATTACACATTGTCGTAATAAAAGACAATCGTATTAATGAGAAAATGTTTTCTTATAATCAATAACGCAAATGAGTTGTTGCACCATGGAGGAAGAAGAAACTAACTGTACCAACAAGAATAACTTCAAAATTAAAGAAAAAGTAAATTAACATAAGACAGACATACCTTTATTTACTATTTACAATCATCACCAAAGACCCAGTAGTAAAGCGAGACGAAGTTGTGAATTTTGTTTAGTTGTGATCTTATAGACAGATTTTTAAGGTGTTTAGTTGGTACCAGTTGTTATCGGCATTGAGCCACTAATTTGTGTTGAATTACATTTTACAATATTCATATTTTATATTTGTTCAACGGTAAAGAGTCGGCTTGTATTTTAACATTCTCAAACCTTACCTGTAACAAAAAAATAACATATCAATTATAGAGCGTTAATGGAGGATGAAAACAAAAACTATATACAACACTTTTGGATGTTGCTCAGGCCTTAAACAATATTCGGCACCAGGCTCTACTCTTTTCACTCAAATTTCCACGTAATTCTTGTTCCTTCAATCTTTCCTTTTTGACATATTTTTCTCAATTTGGGTGGAGTCAGATATTTCTTATATTCGTCCAGTCTTGATGGGTGTACCCGGAGGTTCAGTACTGGTTCCTATACTATTTATTGTAAACACTTACGATTTACTTATAATTAATGAGATATTGACTGTAACTTATGCTGACGATACAACAGTTGCAGATTAAATGCACTCTTTGAAGAAAAAGCTACTCACCAATTTATGTCGATAACAACCAAATACCTCAGGCGGGTACCGTTGAATAGCTTGGACTTACTTTTGACTGAACTTTGATGGATGACATGGGACCCACATATTAAAATTTAACAGAAAAGCCTTAATAGACGACTCAAACTGCATTACTCATTCTTTCCAAAATATTCAAAACTAGAACTGTAACTGAAACTCAATATACACATGTTCTTACTTAAACCTCTTTGGATATACTTCTCAAAGATACTTGATACTACTAAAAATATCACGACTCATAATTAAACCACCTTGATAGGTGACTAAATAAACCCAGCATACAGACTCCCGCCTACTAACATTTGACTAGTATATAAGGACTGTTCACCAACGATTCCATAATAATTTACAAAGATATTTAAATAATAGCAAAATAAAAGTATCAAACTGAATTTGGTTTTTCATTATTTTTCCTATTCACATCGGTCACTGAAGAAAGTGGTAATAAACAAGTATGCTGATAATAACAACAAGCAAATGGTATTTCAGGCATGGAGAAGAATAGTACCTCTTACCGGTCTTGAGTCACAAGATCCACAAAAGGAGCTCTCTCATCCAGCTCTTTTTTAATCGATTACTAATCAGCTTGTCGGCCGTAGTCATTTCTTTAATCAAAGCGTTTCTATGTTATGTATAATGGAAAAGGGAATAAAAAGTATAAAGTAAAATAAAGTCGGTATGTAAAGTTTTGTTATTTACGTACTAGACAGCGTCTAATATTAGTCTTAATATTTTGGAATAAAAAAGATAAAAAGATTTTGTAAGGTAATTTCAGTCGATGGTTTAAGGTCTTTCTTTTGATTTTGATATGTTGAAAATTATTATCTTAATCAAATATATTTTATCTATCGCTTCATATTAAAAAAAAAAAAACGGGAACATTAAAAATACACACACCTTAAATTTCTTATTATTATTTATTCAGTACTAAGTCGGACGATTATCTTTTTTATGGGTATTAGAGGCTATAATTATTTCTTTGAATATTTTCGACAATCAAAGATATAATTGTCTAAAATATTTCTTCCATTTTTTTAATAATGACTAAAATCAAGAAAGTTCACGCCTCTGAATGCCATGAAACCATCGAGCGACCAATCACATAATCATTACCTTTCTAATAACATGTCCTTGTGAACTTCATCAAGGCGCCTCACAATGGAAAAAGTACACTTGTACTTACTTAATGGCCATGGCAATGGTTTGGAAGTCCGTCTTCCAACAATTCCATCGGGATTAATGACTAAATGCAAATCCTGTCCTTCGGATGGCATTAATAATGGACACTAAACTGACTCATACGTGACTTTTGGAAACTGGTATCATTTCTAGCATTCAAGCATCCTTCAATTATGGAAGGTAATGATTTTCTATCCCTTAATCAGAACACATCTTACCTCAAATGCTTTGTTCCTAGTAACTAACGATTATTTGAAAATGATTCCCCGCGGAACTCTCCAAATTGCTAATCGCTAATCACAGACCTTGGATTAAGCTTCCGATTCAAACATTATGAACCTTTGCAGCTAGTCTTGGAGATAGTCAGCGAACAGGATTTTAACTTCATATATCTTTTTAAGTAGTAAGATAATAAACTTATACAACAAAGAAAAGAGGTTTTGTATAGACTATATTTGTTGAGCACCAATAATAAGTTAAAAAAACGTTTAGTAGCTTCCTCAACATTCCCATTGTTTTCAAGAGAAAGAAAATCATACCATTAATGTGTCAGAAAAAAATAAAAAGCAATGTACTAATTATTTATCTCAGAATATTTTAGAGAGAAATAAGTCAAGAGGGAAATACGTTTGCTCTTGTGCACGCAAAATTTGAGGGTATGGTACCATATAAATTGACAATAGACATTATAAATATGCTTAGACAACTTTGGTCCGATTCGAACGACTTTGGTCTTTTTAAAAATATTTTTGCAAAAGAAAATATGTTTGCACTTGGGAATTAAAAAACAGGGAGAGACTTTGAAGAAAGTTGTATGAGACCGACAACGTACCAGCTCTTTAAACATTTAATAAAAAGCGGATTCATGTAATTTAGTATTTTTGTCTGTTACGCGGATTTGAATTCAGAAAAACAGACGGGCAGGCTTGAAACTGAATTTGTTCGTTGATTTCTAAAACGTAAAACGCGAGTAGATGTTTCGAGTTAACAACTTTTTTTCAACTCCCGTTAAAAAACAAAGCCTCTCTACCTTGTGTGGAGTAGTTGTTGTGAGAAAGCGCAATTAAAATATGAAGTTTGTTGATGTATTGTAACAATCCAAGATTGTTAGGATATAGTTTGAAAATTTCAACCTCGTAGCCTAGTGTCTTTAAAACTCAGGTAAAGAATAAAATAATCCGTTTCGTGTTTCGTGTCTAGCCAAGCAAGCCATCATCAAAACAAAAAGAAAACGAGCCCAAGAACACATCACTCCATGAAATCAAATCGCCTACCGGAAGAACATTTTTTTTTTTTATTTGAAGTTTATTTGAAGACAACTAAAATTATTTGTTGACGGGCAAATTCACAAGTGGGGACCAGCCGCTTCGTGAGCTTAATGCAGTTTTACTGGCAACAATT